TTCAGGAGAACAGAAGGAGCCCTGCTGTTCTTATTGAAGTGTTATGACTGCTGCATTTACATCTCAGCATGACTTCAAAGTAGCCATGACCACACACGGGTTTGCTTATGGGTGGCTTTGTTTACTTTCTAAAATGTCCTTTATGTTATAAAGAAAAGGATTATCTTGACCCCTGGGTGACCCCACATGTCCCTCCTGTATCCACAATAAGTCCAAAAAGTAGATTTGTTTTGAGCAGTTAATGTGAGGGTAGTTAATCTAAAAAGAGTCCCTCTGCACCTTTAAGAAAACCTTTATGAACACCTACTAACTTAATGATGATGGTCTCCATATTATTGATGATGATGATGGTAATGACGATGGTTTTTGTTTGATAACGACGACTTATAAGATGGTTTCTATACTGATTAGAGCTCTCAAGAACTGCCCTCAATGTTGTGCTTTGCCTCTGGTCACTTCCTGTCAGCACCTGTGTGTCCAATCAGACTCAAAGCTGATCGTTTGCTCTTACTCACATTGTTCCCTTTTTTCTAGATCCTTGCTTGTGTTGTTCTTACTCTCTGATGTACGTCGCTTTGGAGAAAAGAGTCTGCTCAGTGAATTGTAGAATTAATGGTTTGCTTTCTGTCTTCTCCGACTGCAGGAAAAGATGTTATCGGCCTCGCAGAGACGGGCTCGGGAAAGACGGGTGCGTTTGCTTTGCCCATCCTTCAGTCCCTGCTGTCCTCCCCCCAGAGGCTCCACACCCTCGTCCTCACCCCGACCAGGGAGCTGGCCTTTCAGATCTCAGAGCAGTTTGAGGCCCTGGGCTCTAGTATCGGTGTGAAATGTGGTACGTCTCCACTGAAGGCTGATGGGATGTAAACGATGCAGATGAATCGTTTTTGGTTCTTTTCCTAACACGTTGTCTCCTTTCTGTCTCAGCCGTCGTTGTCGGAGGAATCGATATGATGTCCCAGTCCTTGGTGTTAGCTAAAAAACCTCACATTGTTATCGGTAAGACCACGAGTGAAACTGTCATCATCATTTTCTGTTGTAAATAACAGCAGCTCATCTACTTTCACCTCAGGCTTCTTTTACATGTGAGCATTGTTTTCTAATGTAGTATTGAAACATGCATAAAGTTTGATTTTAAACAGCATCGTATCAGAGTTTAAAGATCTGCTATCCTGACATGCCCATGACGCAGTGACTCCTGTGTGTTTACAGCCACACCGGGTCGATTGATAGACCACATGGAGAACACAAAAGGCTTCTCTCTACGAGCTCTGAAGTTCCTGGTGATGGACGAAGCAGACAGAATCCTCAACATGGACTTTGAGACCGAGGTTGGTATTGAAAATGTTGCTGTCATTGATTGATTTCCTTCAAGTCTGTTGCATTTTTTTTTTACATCCCATCCACTTTTTACGTGTCTTAAAAGCGCCTACCTTCTCTGGTCCAAACAAACCCAGAGCATTCAGGAGCAGAATCTAAAGTTAGAAGGAGGACATACTGGCTGCTGCATTGTTGTCAGAGAAGCCAGCACTTCAACATAGCATGTTTCCTTAATGATCAGAGAGTAAGATACCTTTATCATCTCACTCTCTACACATCTCACTGATTGGACCTTCAAGAATACTACTGAAGCGACTTGCAGTGAAGGTGACACGTTGTTTAAAGCTTCTGTTTAAATGACGCTGGTTTGATGCGTCAAAAACTAAACCGTGTCAGCCACAGAAGTCGGCACTCTGATACAGGCGCCTCTTTGTAAGACATTGTTTTAATAAATGTAACATTTTAAACTCTCTTATTGAAGATGATGTTGAACTTTACTTGCTGTAACTCTTGTTTTTCTTTCCAGGTGGATAAGATCTTGAAGGTGATCCCCAGAGACAGACGGACCTTCTTGTTCTCTGCCACCATGACCAAAAAGGTACCCAAACACCCAAACTGAGTATGACTGTGAAGGGCGTTAAAGTGTTTGTAATCATCTTTATTTCGCATGTTCACCAGAAAGTCTGACAGTCATTCTTTCTAAACTTTCTTTTATTTCCTCGCAGGTCCAGAAACTCCAGAGAGCCGCTCTGAAAGACCCCGTGAAGTGTGCGGTCTCCACTAAATACTCGACGGTGGACAAACTGCAGCAGTACTACATCTTCATTCCCTCCAAGTACAAGGTAGAGCTGCACGCTGTGATGTCATATCTGTTACTGATTCTTCACGCTGCACGCTACAGTCCTGTTTCTACTGTCTTTCTGAAGGCGTTCATGACACAGTTTTGTGTTTTGTGACAGGACTGCTACCTCGTGTCCATCCTGAACGAACTCGCCGGCAACTCTTTTATAATTTTCTGCAGCACGTGTAACAATGCCCAGCGGGTGGCGCTGTTGTTGAGGAACCTTGGCATCACTGCAATCCCACTGCACGGACAGATGAGTCAGGTACGACTTCACAGAAACACACAGATGGTGCAGATGTTAGCTTAGCATCAATAATCATTTTACACTCTACAAGACCCTGTTGGCGTGCGCTTTTCTCCGCCCTCACACTTTTTATTTTAGGGATTATAAAGTTACTGTCATTTCATCACATTCAGAAAAAGACGACAACAGCATCAGTATTTTATTTTTTTGCAGATGTCAGTAGTTTTGAGTTCTTATGAGGACACGATGACCTGGAAATTATCCATCCATCCGTTATATTTACCGCTTTTCCTGTTTGGGGTCGTGGGGGGCAGGAGCTGATCCCAGCTGTCATTGGACGAGAGGCAGGGTTACATCCTGGGCTGGTCACCTGTCAATCACAGAGCTGACATATACACCCCGCACCTTCGGGCAATTTAGAGTCCCCGTTTTAGTTTGAATATTTTGAGTGGTTGCCATGGTTACATCTTCTTTTTGCTTCTTGGCGGCTTTGCAAACCATAACACTGTTTCATATAAACAATGTTTTGTGTTAATTTAATCTCACTTTCTTTAACTTCCACACTCAGAATAAACGACTCGGATCGCTAAACAAGTTCAAGTCCAAGTCTCGATCGGTGCTGCTGGCGACAGACGTGGCGTCCAGAGGACTCGACATCCCTCATGTGGACTGTGTCATCAACTATGACATCCCCACTCACTCCAAGGTACCTCGCTGCTCCTTCTCCCGCTGCTGATCGTTTTCCTGGATCATTTGTTGGTGTTTGTTTGAGTGATCTCATTGATGTCTTCACTCACAGGACTACATCCATCGAGTGGGACGAACAGCTCGAGCGGGGCGGGCTGGGAAATCCATCACTTTCGTCACGCAGTAAGAACGACCTGTTCGTACTCTTTAACGGTGAAAATGAGTTTATTGATTTAAATTAACTTATGTTGTCGTTTTTAGATACGATGTGGAGCTTTTCCAGCGAATCGAGAGCCTGATTGGGAAGAAACTTCCGGCCTTTCCGACTCAGGAGGACGAGGTGATGATGCTGGTGGAGAGGGTGAGCGAGGCCCAGAGGTTCGCCCGACTGGTGAGTCTTCTCAACGTCGTGACCATCACTCTCATCAAGAATGACTTTTTAAACTCCACCAACTTTACGAGTTCCACAATTAAACTTTAAACTGATTTAACTGAAACTGTTACTAAGCAACCCGAACATCCCATTCTACTGCACTCTGCTGGTCTCCATGGCAACCACAGAGCAGCTACTCTGTAGTGTGATCGTCAGCTGGTTGTCATGAAGGTTTAAAGTCGGCTTGTGTTGAAAACTTCATTATTATTATTTTTTAAAAGGTGTGAAAAATCAATGTGTCGTCTTTCTCAGGAAATGAAGGAGCAACATGAGAAAAGGAAAAGACCCAAAGGAGGAGATCGAGACGAGGACGACACGGAGCAAGCGAGCGGAGTGAGGAAAAAAGTGAGAGGAGGAGGAAGAGGAGGAGGAGACGGCGGCGGGATGAAAAAGAAAGGTGGAGCAGCCTGGAGGGGAGGGCGCTGAAGCCCCCCCGACATGAACAGACTTTACATAACAACGTACCATGCCATTATTGTTTTTCTTATTAAAAAAGATTATGACGATGTACAACATGGCGGCCATTTTTCTTCAATGACAGGCTAACAGTGCGGAGCTCAAAAGCTGTTAGAAAGTCCATCTAATATTACTGCTTCTCCAAGACAAGTAGGTTTCTTGTCGTAGTTAAAAATGGCAGCTGGCTGAATTTCACTTTCATTGAGTTGCGCTGTGGAAAAAAAAGAAATCATCAAACAGCCCTTCTTCTTCTCCAGGTGAGATTTCCCCTTTTGTGATAAAATAACTGAGTGAAACACAAAGTTTGGGATTGAAGAATGTGTTGTGTTAACACTGCTTTGAGGCACAAGATGGCGCTGTTGCAGTTTAAAAAACAGGAGGATGAGACTGATCACATGAAGGAGACACACTGCTAATGTATGTTATGAAATAGAAAAGTTCATCAAGATATTTTATAATGTATAGATGCATGTATGCCCTGTTTACAGACATCTGCACATCTGAATGTAATGTGGCATGAACCAATGTCAGTAGCCGATGTTAATTGAAACTCATTTTAATTGTCAAACATGAGAAGAAATGTTGGAATTGTGAGTACACAACACCTATAGATACATCAGTATTGGAATCGACAGTCTGCTAAATTGTTATTTCAAACATTGGAATCGGCATTGCCCATGATTTGCACTATCGGTGCATCTCTATTTACAAATGAGGGGTTGGTTTCTCCCAGCCATGGTTGAGAGAGGGAAAGACCTGCAGAGTGGGAGCCCAGATGTCTCCATGCTGCCTTGGTGGGTGGATGGGTGCAATGCATAGACATTTGGGGAATTGATTCCCCACCAGTTTTGAAATTCTCTGTAATATGTGTGTTAACTTCTGAGTAATATCTATGAGATTATGATGCATAAGGAAGGCACAGCCCACATTTCTGCTCAGGTGTATCCTCCCACAGAGTGACACACTGTATTGATCTGCATGGTCACTGTGTGTGTAGGCGGGATCAGCAGCAGCAGCGGTCAAGTGTGCTCTGTTTAGGAGGGGCCCCAAAGTGTGGAGGCAACGCTGTGCCTGCTGTGGTGCTGCATACCAAAGCCCAAATACATGCCTGAGCTTCAATTGTGTGGAGCTGCTGCTGGTCGCATACAGGGTCGCCTGATCATCGGGGAGGGATATCAGACTGTGTGGTGGTGAACAGGATCTCTGGATATAAACACTACACACACCAGGTAAGTTAAGGTGAATCTTGTCACACTTCAACGGTCGTCATTTCGTTTGCTGGCTTTTAATATTGCCTTAAAATATACCTTTAGAGCATCTTTATTAATGTTTCACCTCCACATCATGCGTTACTACACGGAACAGTTAGTGCTGTCGTGTTGTAAGCAGGTAAAGTTGATTGTATTTGATGATAATCGTCGGTGGTGTTGCGGTTAAATTTGCACCCCAACAATCGAAGGCTTTGACACGGAGCCGCGTAACCCGGCCATTATCAGATATTAAACTAAGTTATCTCGGTCTAGTTATGTCATGATAGTTTCATGTGTTTAATTTAATTCATCGTTACTACTTTAGTGTTTCTTATATTTGCGTTGAAGCTAAAGTTTTGGTATAACGGTCGCTCTTTCCACGTAACTGGAACTTTAAGCTAGCGTTACCATAGTTACGACGTTACTTATCATTTAGCGGCTACATACAATGAAGCTACATTTAAGCCAAGTAGCTTATATAAATCGTATCTATAGGCTTTATGTAGACAGGTATAGTATTTAGATAAGTATAGTTTATGGTATATAGGACATGCTCTGTCACATATGGTATTCCTTAATGAACCTGCGCAACCGACATTATTGATAACATGGGTTGCGCAGGTTCATTAGAGAATTAGCCTGATATTTGTAAACAGGACGTCGGGCAGTAAGTTCCCCTCCTGCTGCTTTCCGTTCATGCTGTTCTCTGGGGGCTTTGCCAATGCACAGTCATCGTGTCTGTTCTATAAGCTCCGTCTGTTTTGACAAGTGCAGGTTGAAGACTTTATCTGGACGACTGGGTGCAGTCGAAGTGGATAAACTGAAGATTTAGAACAGAAAAAAGGGATAAATTCTGTTATTTGTGCCTTTCACGACGTCTCTGCCGTCCTGTTGGATCTGCTGAGTAAACTACGCAGTATGCGGATTGCTGTTGTGCAGATGCATCCAGTGAGAAGTCATGCAGACTATCAGTCCCTCACCTAAAATCTGTTTTCGTTTGTCCGACTATTAATTCATTTATCAGTTCAGTATATGACATGCTGTGTCACATATGGTATCCCAGCCTCACTGTGAGTGTTTCAGTTCATGCATTGTACCCCTGAGATTAATCTGATTCATTTGAATGTCATTATTCATGCAGTAATTAGATGTATTCAAACTAAGTCCATGAAATGTTAGAGACATATTGAGGCAATTAGGGCTTTAGATAATATAAGGACACGTAAGGGGGGAATTCATCAAAAGTTATCTCATGACACTTTACATATAAGTGGTGTTGTAGCTCTGTTTTATTCATTGATGTTCTGCAGGGGCGTGTCTAGACTTTCTCTACTGGGGTGGCCCTGACTGATGCAGGGGTAGCAGAATGTCATTTATTTACCCTTCTATCGCTTATAAGATAAGATAATCCTTTATTTATCCCACAACGGGGAAATTTACAGTGTTACAGCAAAGAGCAAAGACTGTAAACAGAAAGTGAACACAGTACAATTTAAATAAAAAATAAAGAAAAATAGCTGTATCATATACTTTAACAAAACACAAGAGAAGGCAACATATACATCGTGTCAGTGTAATGCTTTAAGCACTCGATGATAAAAGATGTGTGTCTATGTCACAGTTTAAAGCGCCTGCAGAATGTCAAACTTGCTAAATATATTTATTGGCACATTGCTAGATGCACATGTGTATGGCCTCACTTCATATCTTTGTATGTGTCTATTAAATATATGTACTTATATTTATCTACAATAAGTACCAATAAAGGATAGGTGCTACACAGACATGTTGATAACACAGCTGGAATAGTTAATAGGAATAGTTTGACTTAAGTCCCGCCTCTGACAAGGCAATTAGCCAATCATTGTTTTAGGATTTTGGGGGGACGTCTGGGGTGGCCAATAAGATTTCAAAGGGGGCCCGGGCGACCCCTCTGGATACGTCCCTGCTCTTTTTGTTAAATGTCTGCAGATAACATTTGTTATGAATTGACCCTATTCAAATAAAGATTTATTGATTGATTGAAATGGTATCCTTAATGTGAGTGCAGGAGATCTGTTTCCATACATGCATTGTATCCCAGAGATGAATCCGATTGATTTTAAAAGCCATTATTCATGCAGTATTTACATTCAGAGTTAAACTACAGCCATGAAATATTTACAGTCAAATACTGAGGCTTTGAGGGACTCATTCATAGAGTTTAAGGACACAGAAGGTGGACATTCATCTGTAAAGTTTTCTCATGTAGATCAAGTCTAGTCAATCATTTTTGAGATATGATTTACAGAGCCCGATCACTTATTAACAAATGAGCAAGCATGATGCATTAGTGGTAAGGTAAAGCTTCCTTTAGGCAGAAACCTCAGACAGAACCAGACTCAGTGGTGGACAGAGAGATGGAGAATCTTCTTTTTCGATATGTTGTGTCATGCATGTCCAGTTTAAGGTAACAGTCCCTGCTCTCGTGTGTGTTCCAGGTGGCCACGTTGCTCTGGTAAACCCCAGGTAAGATGTCTCATCGGAGTGGGCAAGAGGACCCGGAGCGGTACCTGTTCGTGGACCGGGCCGTCGTTTACAACCCAGCCACGCAGGCCGACTGGACGGCCAAGAAGCTGGTGTGGGTCCCCTCGGAGCGCCATGGCTTTGAGGCAGCCGGCATCCGGGAGGAGCGGGGCGACGAGGTGCAGGTGGAGCTGGCGGAGAACGGCAAGAAGGTGATGATCAACAAGGACGACATCCAGAAGATGAACCCGCCCAAGTTTAGCAAGGTGGAGGACATGGCCGAGCTCACCTGCCTGAATGAAGCGTCTGTGCTGCACAACCTGAAGGACAGATACTACTCAGGACTCATATACGTAAGTGACACACACCTGGACTGTTTAAGTGTTCTCTTTTCTTTCCAAGCTGGGGAATGATTAACCTTAAAAGTCACAGATCCCTCAGCTCTCTCAGCTGTAGATTGAATTTCACTCCCAGATGTTATAATCGCAAATGATGGACAGGATTTCTAGTCTTTGCTATTGGCCCTCTGATTTTGACACTCTTTTGTGAAAAGAAGACCTGATACTTTACAATGAGCTGGCATTGAACTCTTCTTCTGCACTGACTGAATCCTGACCCCGCACTCACATATTTGCACACGGTTTGAGTGACAGCTCTCGCAAAGTCTTTTAACCATTGCCAGACTTTTTACCCCCTCTGGATCTTCCCTCCTCAGTGCCCCGAGGTTACAGATTGTAACCTCCCCCCCCATGGCTTCCCCTCTCACCTCAGCCCAAATGTAAGCCTCCTCCATAAACACCCCTGGGTTCAGTTTGTTTGTCCTGCTCTGCGCTCCTTCTGGTGGTCTTGTTTGATCACAGAGACAGCTTGATCTCTCTCCCTCTCTCTCTCCTCAGGTCGTCTGTGTTATACTTCACACATTTGGCCTAAGCCCGGAAAAACCAGCTCAGCTTTAGAGTTACTTGTATTATTGGATAGTCCTTTGACCCTGATAATGTCTTAAAAACATGTTAAATGTATGAATGAATCAAAGCTTAAGTTTGAGGGGGTTTTTATGTCTGCGTGATCGGCGTCCCCGTTTTTCACTTTCACCACTGATGGATCTCCTCGGCGATGTTCTGGTTGTGTTCTTGACCCATTTAGTGACACTATTTCCAGGAATAGAAAGTGGGTTGTTTTTTTTTCTCGTGAGAGACTGTGGTTCAGGGACTGCAGCGGGAACTGTTGCACAAATTCACACATCACCGCTGACTTTCAGACGATCCCGTTTGGGGTGTTTGGTGTGCACTGCTTTGCGAGTGTTCAATCTTCTCAGTACTTCCTTCTTTAAGTCAAATTGTTGGTGTTTCAGTTAAGTGATAGAGCAGAGCTTCAGTTCGACTTGCCCGTTCTCCCGGGTTTCTCTTTATTTTCCCTCTCATACCACAGTGTCATGGTTTCTACATTCTTTTTTTTTGTGTGTGGTGTGGTTCAGGATTGGCTTCAGCGCTTGTTAAATCAGCCCTCGGCCAGGAGAAATTGAAAACATGTGTTTGACTGTGTTGGTTTCCTATCAGGGAGAGAATTTTCCTGCAGAAGAAGAAACCCTCAAAACCTTTTCCAGCATATTGATTTACCCCCCTAGAGCTCAGTGACATCCACTGCAGACATAATCTAAAACCTCCCCCAGGCTGTGTTCCTTTTGAGGTTTGTTGGGGGAGACCTCTATATCTGAGCATGATCAGCATGGATCTGCTGGAGTCTGATAGAAGATGAGGCCTCTCTGCTTTTTTATTGAATCAGTGAGATGTGTAGAGACTGAAATGATAGTGACCTTACTATATGATCAGACATTAAGGAAACATGCTATGTTGAATTATTAGTATCCCTATTATTATTTTAACTTCACCGGCCAGCAACTGAAGCCTTGAGGCTCCTTCTGCATTTTGAGTTCTTAGTTTTGGTGATTCATCTCTCCTCTTTGCCGGTCTGACGGCTTCATCCGTGTGATGCCGGTGAGACACTTCAGCCAACTCATTTAGTGCAGCAGCTTTCTATCAGTGAGTCGGTGACGCACAGGCTGACCACAGTGCTACACACTAGCCACGGCAGCGAGGCTACAAGCGGGCCTTTGTGTCGTTTGATAAGCCTCAGCTGTCAGAAAGCCTCAGCATTCTTCCACAGCAGAAAGATCGTCCGTCTGTCTGTCTCCTGACGCCCACTTCAGCTCTGCTGCTGCTCAGTGTCCGTCCTGTCTGCACCAACGAGTCTGCTGCTGCCCTGCCTCACTGATCCTGGACTATACAGACTCTAATTCTTCCATCATAACATCATCTTTGTACAGTCCTTTTTAGCTTTTAAAAAGAATACTGAGATTTAAAGTCTAGATGTATGTAATCATATTTTCCTGCACAAAACTTGCTCGAGAGGTCTTTGATCAAACACGTGTCAAAGTATTGAACATCTTTACAATCTTAGTATGCAAGCAACTCCTTTCAGTGTACAACGAGCGCCATGTTCAGTAAACAGTAGAATACCAATTTTTCCTAGTGCATTCATAATAGATCAATTATCCTCTTTATGATTAAGTGAGAAATCGTTTCTACATTTTGTTTCTGGAGAAAAGCCGAAGACTTCCTGCTGTTTTCACTGAGAATGAAAACCATCCATCTAACTGCAGGGATCATATTTCAAAAGCCTGGTCTGAAGTTTTCAATTGTTATAAAATCACTGCAGAAACACTGTCAAGGGTACTTTCAAGGTTTTCCTGCACTCCATCTAGATCAGCAGCCCTCAGAGTGCCCCCCCCTCAGCCTCTGCAGCGGACGCTCCACGTAGGCAGGCTGGCCGCTGGCTGACTGATCAGAGGTGGCAGATGGGGTCGGCTGTTGTGTCTGCTGTTGCCTGAGTGTTTCTCAGCTGTTACTAGGCCACAGGATCCCCACCCCTGGATCTGATTTCACAGTGGAAATATCACCTTCTGCTTCCTGGACTGGGCCTCGACGCGTTGGTTTGGCAGGCCGCGTTGAGTGAGCTCAGCCAGCTGGAAACGGGAGCAGTGAATGTTCTTTATGTTGCGATGATCCTGCAGGATCGTTCACTGTAATAACTGTCGTGCAACAAAACAAGCATGCAGAGAGTTTTTGAGACTATCAGCAGGTTATCAAAGCAAAGTGACCACAGTAACTTATCAACAGAAAACAGAACTGGCAACATGCCGCAATTTAAAAAAAAGTAAATATTTGCTGTCACAAGGCGTTCACAACTTTTGAAAGTTTTCCAAAAGCCTGACAGCTTTAAGCAGCTTACCTGTCACTAAAACGGGTTGCAGGGGGTTCATTCTGCATAATTTAAAGCCTTAATATTAATACAGTAGATATGTTTAATAAAAATGAACCCCTCATTTGGTTTTGGGGAACAAGGAAATGAGCCTCGATGTTGGTTTCTGTTGTTTTACCATTTAAATAAAAAGATAAGTTGCGATTCACTTTGGCTTCATTTTTTCCAAAAAGGTTGCTGCTTGGTTTAAATCAAACATCTCATTCATACAGAGACATGATGCAATAAATTACTACACCACCTGTGAGCTCTTCAGCCGCCTGGGACAGTCCAGGTAGACACTGCAGCCCAGGTATCTCTGTGCAGCTGCAGAACCAAAGAGAACAGAACAGACTCCCTATTTATAGCAGCTCCAGTTTGCAGATAAAGGTGAATTCATTATTTATTAGTCTGTAAAAAAAGAAGAGTGGAGACTTAGATTTCAGCCTCTCGCTCTCTCTCTCGGCCCGTCAGTTGGGGGTTAATTTAGAGGAAGGCTGAGCACTCGGTTCACAGTTTTCACAGTTTGCTACAGCTCTGTGTCTGAGCTGGATCAGACCTGAGGGAGCTCTGTCAGCTGGATCGTTGCTCTGCTCTTCATTTCACCTCTCTCTCATTCACCACCTTCTCCTCTCTCTTTCCCAGATGCAGCGTTAGAGCTGTTACATAACGTCTACAGTGTTCAGTCTGCTCTCGGGGGGGGGGGGCTCTTTGTGAACACACGGCTGCTGAGTCACTCACGGCACGACGGAGCCTCTTGAACCCTGGATGTAGTTTTCATTATGAAGCAGGTGTCACAATGTTTGATGCTCTGATAGGAACAGAACACAGTCCCTTTATGTTTGACTTTATGGGCTGTGCTGCGTTCTGGCAGGATTTGCAGCCGCAGAGGAGGGGATGATACAATAAAAAGCTCTTGAAATATTCAAAAGCATCGGCTGTCAGTCCAGAGAGAAGTCATGCTTTCATTAACTCTGAGCGTGCTGTGCTGGAAGCTAAAGACGACACGACTACTGGATAGATTTCAGACTCATTGCAAAACATTTTGAAGCTTTAATAATCTAAGTCTTTGAAAACAGAACGTCCCTGCAGAGTGAACAAAAAGCAAAAAGATGTGACGACTCCCTGAAAGAATTTCAGCTCCGATAAAAGACGTTTACAGATTTTGCTCCTAGTTGTTCCTCTCCTCCTGATATCTTTAGAATTCTAAAGAAAGTGTTTCCTGTCAAACAAAGTGTCACAGTGGAGTTTGAATGTTTGGCCCCAGAAGAGACAAAGCAAACAAACACGTCTGTCACCGTGACTTTAAAACCAGCAGGGAGCCGGCTCCTTCTGTTCCCCTCTCGCGGCCTCCTGCCAGAAAGTCCAGACTGCTTATTCTCCTTCATCCAGCATGTTGTCTGCTTCTGATACGGGACAGTACATGTGTGTCCAGACGGGTCGTGTTTGTTTGTATCACATGTTTCAGAAACACACACGGCATCAAAAGCATCAAGACAAAGTGCAACTCAGTCCTCTTTTAATGTCATTAAATCATGAAGTTCTATCTGTGGACGTGTTGTCAGTGTGTCGTTATCGTCAGTTATGAGCTAACAAAACAAAGGTACTCCTGGAGGCGTCCATGTTGTATGTACCAGACCTGAATTTGGAGGTTTAATGGAACGCCCCAAGAGGTTAAGGCCCCGTGTCCACCTATCGTTTTTTCTGAGTGCCAGTGTCTTATCTTCAATTGTTTTCAATGAGTAGAGAGTGTTCACAGCAGAAAGAAGCCGGAGGTTACAGTGTTGAAGAAGATTATGACTCTCCTTCCACTCTGTAAAGTAAAAAGAAATCATTTACCTGCATGCATATCGATAAGGTTTACATCAGGATGCATTTTAAACTAAGCAAAGTCATGGTGAGCGTCTGCGTGTACCCACCAGAACTATCCTTACATACCAGTGGTGAAAGACACACTCTCTACATGCTGCTCTTTCTCTGTGTCATCTATAGGGGGGAATGTAAAGCCTCTATGACATCTGCAGAATGAGAGAGAGAGAGAGAGAGAGAGAGCGTGCTCGCCCCAGCAGGCCCCCTCTCTCTCTCTCATTCCTGCTCGCTCGATTCAGCCGAGGAGGGTTCTTCATACCACACAGTCTCAGGGGAGACATCTTCAGGGCTTATTGCTCAGAGAAATGCAACACCAAGAGCGAGAGAGAGGAGGCTGAATGTTAGCAGGGGAAGTCGATTACTGCAATAAGAGTCTTTAAGATATTTTCATACACTCCTTGTTCACGTTCTGCTCTTTTAGGGTTCACTGCAAACACTGAACTGTGTTTTATCCACACATATTAAATAACTCTAAACATTCTGCTGCTTCTGCTCCCTCATACTGCACACAGCACTTTGTATTATTATTTAACACCCCTTCAATATTAGGAGCCTGATGCCTTGCTCGATTGTGTTTTTTTATTCTAACATATGTTGTATTTCTAAATGTTTGATAGTTTGAATGTCTTACCGTGTGTTTTAAACGTTTTATATTTGCACACTCAAGTAAAATGCAAGTTTCTGCCCTTAAATGCACAAATAGAAAACAAGAGCCCGGGCACCAATAATCTAGCGGTTATGTCGCGCGCCCCCTGTACGGAGTCTGTAGTCGTCATTGCAGCGGCCGTGGGTTCGAATCCAACCTTGGCCCTTTGCTGCATGTCGTCCCCCTCTCTCTCTCCTCACAGCATGCCCTGTCTCTCTACAGCTGTCCTAATCGAATAAAGGCAAAAATGCCCAAAAAATACCTAAAAAACTAGAAAATAAAAGCCTGTGTCCATAGACGGCGCTCATATTTGAGTCGTCAGTAAAGAAGACTCTGAGTCCGCTTCTATTCTGTGTAACTGCACTTTAATTTGTTAAGCTGCATTATCAAACAGTGCAGGATCAGCAGCAATATGGCAGGATGTAAACTTTACAAACACTGAAGCTCAAAATGACCTTTGAACAGTCTTTTGACCTGCAGACTTTGTGTTTAAGATCAGACATGAAAGCCAAATCCAGCTCACTAAAGTCAGACTTTGTTCTCTGATTTAATGTCCCATGTTTGTCTTTCCCTGTGCTTGATTACAGACATACTCGGGCCTGTTCTGCGTGGTCATCAACCCCTACAAGAACCTGCCCATTTATTCAGAGAACATCATCGAGATGTACAGAGGGAAGAAGAGGCACGAGATGCCGCCACACATCTACGCCATCTCTGAATCTGCGTACCGCTGCATGCTGCAAGGTGGGACACTCTTTTGTTTTACTCTCATTCACCTTAATCCTGGCTGTTATGAAGCTCTGTGATGTCACCGCTGGTCTTTATCTGGAGCATCATGAAACGTTCATGTGTTGGGGATGAGTGCACACAGTGTCATTTCTCTGTTTTACAATGAGAAAGTCAAATGACAGGTCGTGGTGTCGTTGGGGGATCTGGATCTTGATGTTGGTTCTTTCTTTGTTTTTGCGTTTTGGAGTTTAGCTCACTTGCAGGCAGCCCAGGGTTTCAGCTGCATATTCTAGGAGATTAGTGTGTGAAGAAAGCGTGCAAAGTGTGTGAAAGTTCACAAGGTCAGCGAGGATGTGACATCACTGATTATGCCTGAGTGGGGTCGAGTATGAGAATGAGTATCTGGCGGGTTTTTCAGATGTATCACCCGGGGTTAGTTCATAATAAAAGGTTGTAAAATAATCTTATCCGCACCGTCATCAGCTCTGTTCATGCTGTGCGCTGGATGACGGGTTGAGGTGTGAAGTGGTGTTGGTCGCTCAGCTTGTTCTCTGAATGATTTGCTACGTGTGCTTGAGTAACTAACTTCCTGTCGGGCAATATTCCTCCAAAGCACGAGCGGATTTCTTCATCAATGGCTGACACTTCACAAGTTCAACTCAAATGGATAGTGGTGAAATAATCCTTATTTTAGAGCTGCACTTGAACATCCTAATGTCTCAGTCTTCATGGCCTCTTAAGACCTCCAATCTTTTGACATTGTAGACGATGAGAAGAAGAAGAAGGTGGCTTTGTCGCAGCGTCTCTCTCAGGCGCTCGCTGTGGTTTTGTGACGTGTGACACAAAAAGTCAAAACATGGCAACTTGTATAAAAGTTTCTTTTAAAGCTGCAGCAAAAATCAGATGAAGGTGAACAGAAAAAAAAGACGTGATATTCTGTGAGTGCACATTTGGTCCTACATGAGGATACTGTTGCTCAAGCCTAAGTGAGTCACTCATCTCCTTTATGGGCACTTTCCATATGTTGCATGCACTAAATATATCTTAATTTGAAACTCACACACACACTCACACACACACACACTCTCACACACACACACACACTCACACACACACACACTCTCACACATTCCTCTCAAACTTGTATCACTATGCAAAGTATTTGTCCTGATATGGGACACCTCTCTTGTGCCACACCATTCTTTTCTCTCTGACCCCCTTTTTTCCCCCTCGGCTCAGAGCTCGCTTCATTCTTTTGCTGTCCCTCACAAAGGGGGCGGGGCTAAGCAGCCTGTGGAATGAGGTCATCGCTGTACCCGGCTTTCCATACCATGCTGTGCTAAATTCCACGAGCTGAGTCATCATCAAGTCATAACGCTCGTCCGGGCTACGTGTAACCGGGGTTACCATGGTTACAGGACTGTGGATACCTCACTGTGTGTGTGTGTGTGTGTTTGTGTTCACCTGAGATCTCAAACAGAGGTGTCACCTGTTGAATCAGCAGCAGGGAGGGGCTTCTTTGTGTCTCATTCAGACTGAGAGACGCCATGTCTTTCAGCTTTTACAAACTATCTAGGATCTCCCACTGCTTCTTAATTGCTTCTTTTTTCCCTCATTGACGAGAGCAGCTGGCATCCCTCATTCCCGCCCTTTTTACGAACCACTTTCTCTAGTCCTCTCATCTTTTTTCTTCCCGCTTGCTCTAAACCAGAACGTTCTGGCTTGGACAACACTAAAGAGGAAAATTCCCCACATCTTTTCAAAGCTCTTCCTGGTATTCTTTCACTTCACATGAAAACTGGACTGCAGCCCTGCTGGAAGCTCACTGGTGGTGGCTCAGTGTGCTTTGTTCCTTCCTTCTCGTCCTTTGATCAGAAAACACAGGAGGATGAGCGTGGGGAACGTCCACCTCTGAGTCGCCCCTCGACATCATGATATATCTGCTGTCGCCATCATTCAGCCTCCCTCTGTTGCGTTTTATTTTACCCCTCAACGGGCCCTGACCACATGACAAGTATCAGGAACATTTCCAGACTATCTGAGTCTTTACATTCACATGAGCTCTGCTGATGTTGTAGTGATTGTTGACCATAGTCTGTAAATAATAATAGAGGAAGCCTGAGTGGCATCGACCCTCTGTTCCTGCAGGGGGCGCTGGAGTCCCATCGATGGCGGTCTCCATGCTGGAAATGCTGTCTCAGTCTAACTTTCAGTCAACCTAACGACAGGCTGAGAGCTGGAGCTGAGGCGGGTTTTAAACCTCCTGACAAACCGTTACACCGCGCCCACCTGTCAATCAGGTCAGCTACACGCCGCTGCATCATGTAGTTTGGCTTCTACTGCTGCCCATTGGCTTTAATGTGAACTGCACAATGGTGTCTTTTAAAACCGCCGTCACAGCTTTCCAGCCATATCGATTCTGTCACATCTGCATCGATGCTCTTATTTGCAAGAAGTACGTGATGATGTATTGCAAAAATTGGTTTATTTTTGTGCTTTTTATGACTTTATTTTAGAGGTAGGACAGTGCATAGAGTCAGGAATCAGGGAGAGAGAGAGTAGGGAATGAGATGAGGGAAAGGAGCCACAGGACGGATTCCCCAGCGCCCTCCTACAGCTCTAATTTCAATATAATCTATCATTCAAATAACAAAGATTGTTTTGTTTTTTCAACATGTGGTATCTAAAAGTATCAAAGCGTTGAACATTTTGAAAACCTTATTCAGGAAAAGGGGCTGTGCTTTCTCTGGCACTCATACAGAAAAACATAAAACCACAGGCACAGATCTTTATTTTCTGAGGGGAATGCCAAAGATAGTTTTCTATTTTCCACATATAATATATTGCAGAAGACCTCTCTCCAAAAAACATAACCTTACATAACATGAGCAGCTGCATTCAGACAGTTGTTCTGAGAGTTATGAGTCCTGTTTGACATGAACGACAGATATGAAACATGAGGCAACCGCTAGACAAGAGGAAAAAGTTCTGGAAAACAGAAACCAGAGGGAGGGCCAATCTGGGGGAGACAAAAGTGGAATGTGAAGTGAAATCTTTGGTACTGAAGGAGATACTGGGGGGAACGGGGATAAAAGAGGGCAGAGACCCCTTCAGACACAATGGTCGGGGTTGGTACTGCAGATTCAGGAAAGAAGAGGAGGAGAGGAGAGCGAGGGAGCGGGACAGAAGGGACAGAGTTATGGGGGAAACAGAGCAGAGGGTAAGGGGGAAAGGCTGAGGGGGTGGCCAGTATTGTGCCTCACAATAGGGGCTTTGTGCAGTGTGAAGGGGGCTGGGACCAGGGCGCTGCGAGTGTGCGCATGTATGTGTGTGAGGGTGCAGGCTGTAGCTCTTGCAGGGGGAAACGAGGCCTCTTGTTGGGGCAGAGAGGGCTGGAGAGGAGGGCACACCCAGGCTCTGAGTGACAAGACAGGTGTGTCTGTGTGTGTGTGTGTGTGTGTGTGTGTGTGTGTGTGTGTGTGTGTGTGTGTGTGTGTGTGTGTGTGTGTGTGTGTGTGTGTGTGTGTGTGTGTGTGTGTGTGTGTCAGTCAAGGTCCTCAAATGTCTGTGCTCTCAAAATGTTAAAGAGAAGCATTTTTTACGACCACAGTAAAAAAATAAGTGTCTCAAGATCTTTTTTGATTCTGTCGATCATATATATTGTAACGTTTTTAAACACACCACAACCATGGTTTAAAGATCATGTTTGCACAAGTGTACTGCAAACACACACACTCTCTGTCTCTGTCTCTCTCTCTCTCTCTCTCTCACTCTCTCACCCACACACACACACAACACACACACACACAGATGGGAGGATGTGTTTGAATGGCAGACAGCTGTGGAGTTCATTCAGTATATAATCATATTTCTGTTTGGGGGTTGTAAATCATTTTCTGATTCATGGTTATGTTCAACACGCCGACGCTTTTCCTGCGGCGCCTGAACTGTGCGATGATCTGAGGGGAAGTGGTCATGTGTATTACACATGTATGTATCTGTTTCGCTTCATAGGAGCAATCAAGCTATTGAAATAACAAAGCTTTGCTGCAGACATTTTCATGGATAATATTTCAGGTTTTGAGTTTCTAGACTTCAGAGAGCAGAAAGACTTCCCCTGGACTCTTCATAATAAAGGTCTTGTGTTGTATGTGACGATGTAATTTCCTGCAAAGGATTAATAAAGTATCCATCTATCTGTCTATGACCTCCTGTGGTTAAGGTATATTCGAGCAGTGTGTGTCTGCGGGTGTCAGACATATAACCGAGAGGGGAGATGATTTAAGGTGTCTGTCATGTATTGCGGTCGTTCTTTGAAAGTGTTGTCATGACCGACGGGTGTCATCGATAGCAGGAGCCTCAGCAGGACAGATAGAGTTACCTGTCTGCTGCTGTTTCTGCCCTCTCACCCGTGTGTCACTCTGTTTAATGAGCTACTGACGACATGTGTGTTTGTTCATCTGTGAACTGCACACTATCACTCTGAGACATTGTGTCTCTGCTACAGCCTCCACGTTTTACTTTCCCCCTCATGCAGACTCTCTCCACCTTTCATCCCTTTTCTGTTTTTTGTTTTGTTTTTTACATTCTTTCACTTTTGTTTCTGTGCCACACACTGACACAGCGTCCCCTCTGTGCCCTGAACGCCCCGCTCCCTCCTGTGTGTCTGGCTTCCTGTGGGGTTGCAGAGCTTAGCGTGGCGATATTGGAGGTGCTAGCGTAAACACACATGAAAACGGCCTTGTCCCGTCGGATTACGGCAGGCCGAGCCATCACAAAGAACCTCTGTGGACCAAACAAGCCAACCCGACGGCTGCCATCTGCAATCCATTACAGTGCCAAAAACTCTCACTGTTTTCTCTCCCCTTTCATTGGACCAGAGGCAACACCCAACAGCACAAAGCTAATTTTACACTCATGGCGAGCGTGCTTTTGTGCTGCACTATAGCATAAACAAAACACCGCAACTGCACTTCACATTTCCGCTTTCCCCCCGTACGTTTTCAGTGCATATGCAGAGCTAGAAAAGTGCAGATCCATCATTGACCTTGGAGCAGCAGAAACTGATAAAGTGTGCTATTCGTCAAGGGGACTCTGAGCAGGTAATCCTTGTTGACAGGGACAGGCGCGGGGAAAGGATGGATGTGATGAGGTGTGACAGCAGCAGGCGATAAAAAGTAGAAAAGCAGAGTGCTGTCCTGATGTCTCCTCTTCATAAAGTCCTTTTATTGTGATTTGAAAAACAATCTGCCTTGGGCAAGACACTTAACCCCAAGTTGCTCCCGCTGCTTCGGTTTATGAATGGGATGAGTTACTTCTGATGGACACTGATGTGTGAATGTGAATGTGTGACCTGTGGTATAAAAGAGCTTTGAGTAGTTAGAAGACTTGAAAACACTCTACAAGCTCAAGCTCCATTCACCAGTGAACCGTTGGCTGACTGTATGATTGCATCCCTAATATCTTCACTTATCTTCAGGGCAGCAGACATGAGCTACAGTTAATGCAGACAAATCGCCATATTAGATTTCAAAGAGTCTCCTAATTATCCCAAGAATGTTTACCACTCGGACGCGGCACCTCTCCATGAGAAACACATGCTCCTCTGTACCTCTCTCTCTCTCACATACCCGCTCTCTCTTTTCTGCAATCGCTCCATCTTTCTCTCGATACCTCTCCCCCCCCTCCCAGACTTTGCTCATTTCACCCTGTGTCACAAGCATCTGAAAAATGTGCTTTGTGGGACTTGAGAAGGGAAAGGCTCCAAACTCCTGTCTGAATGTCTCAGCAGAGTCCAGCTCAGGCTGTATGAGACGAGGCGTTCAAGGCGTTT